TGCAGTGTTTTCCACGAGCTTCCGGACACGAAGCCGAAAATACTTCAGGTCCAGCAGTGAAATATTTCCCGAATTTTAAGTCGTTCTACTTAGTATATTCGAGCTATAACAGTTGACAGTTACTCGAGTTTCACGCAAAACGCGATGAGCTTATGTTTCTGTTTCACTCCACATGTATTTGTATCAACACATGCATTTCCTTTTTTAATGTGTGTATCTATTTTCAGGGAAGTACGTAGCCTGGGAGGGTGGTTTGCGAGCGCCAGAGTCCGAGGGTATGCCCCCCTGAAAATTTCGAAGAATCATGTTAAAGTTCGCAACTTCGCATTCCTTGCATTCTGAGGTCTCATTACATCATATGTTTTCTAATAGTTTCTCTTTTTTAATACTCACTCCATCCTAACCCTAACCCTTTGTAGCCAGTCAGTACTGCGCACTGTCGAGAATTGTTTGTTTGTTTGTTTGTTTTGTTTCATGTAAGACATCAAAAAATGTAAAACATTTCGTAACTAATTATATGAGGTAAATTCAAAGTTTTATATCAACCGCCATTATGGTACGTATCTTTCTCATATCACTTGATGAAAAAGGGATGCTCTCATGAGCTTGTTACAAAGTGTCCGTGCATTAAGATCGAATTAGAATTTAGAACTGATGGTTTTTGTGGAGGGAGTGTTGGGAATAGGTTTAATGGTTTAGGTCGCCACAAGGGTAAAAAATTCGATAAAACTCAACAAATAGTTTAACCACATCTGTCCAGCCAAAACTACATACTTGCGAGCACAGTCTTACAATCCCATGATTCCCGAGAACAGGACAGGCACGTAACACGTGCTTACAGGTATCATGACTTTCCTAACAGGGAGGAAAACCGGAGAACCCGGAGTAAAACCCTCGGAGCAAGGACGAGATCAACAAACTCCACCCACTTATGACGCCGGGTCCAAGAATCGAACTCGTGCCACATTGGTGGGAGGCGAGCACTCTCACCATTGCGCCACTCCTGCTCCCTTACAACTTCGCAGCTGTAAAAATTAATGAAGGTGTTGGGAAAAGAATCTGAAAGGACTCAAAGACAAGGTATGTCATTCGTACTGAATAACATTAATTCGCATTCCATCGAGTGAGACTTATCATGTTTATAAACATTAGGGTGCTGAGACTGCGCAGTACGGACTGGAAATCACCCAATAGATTCGAGCTACACCATTTTATGTACACGAGATTGCTGGAATCCCCCTTCCGCTCTCCCACGGGCCATAAAGGGTTAGGGTTCGGGAGGAGTGAGTGTTAAAAAAGAGAAACTACCTTATTATACGTGCATCAAGAGTTCCGGAAGGTAATTCGCGCGCAATGCATTCTGGGATAGTCTCACAAAAAAAGTGGGCACCAAGCGTGACAATATGGCGTGTGTCTCTGTATTCAATGCGTTCTTTGAAGCGTGTCTTTATCTATAATACAGTCTTTTTGTTCTTGTAAGTGATATCAACTGGAAAATAATCTTCGTGGGTATTATATTCAAAAGGTAAGTTACAAATTTTAACTTTGTTTTAGCTGTTTTTAAGCTTTTAATGGTAGTAGATTCAATCCTGCGCGCGAGTGACATTCGCGAATACAAGAACTGTCAAAAGTCAAAGATTCTCATCGTATTTTTATTACTTTGCAGCCGTTTAATGACATGGTCTTTGGGCACAGAAATTGTGCAGTATTTGGGTGCCATAACAGTGGGAAAAAGCTTGAGAAATGGGCTTCACAGCAATGCGAAGTTCACGATTGTTTACACGGCACTCCGCCATGTGACTGTCCGCTGCCGTTCAAGCTATTTCCGTTCCCTACTGAACGCAAAAACAATGAGGGTAGAAAGCGCTGGATCCATCTTCTAAAGAGAAAAGGCCCGAAAGGAGAAGTCTGGCAACCTAATAATTCGTCGAGAGTCTGCAATGAGCACTTTGTTGATGGGAAACCCACGAAAGAAAACCCTGATCCTGTACTCAAAATGGGCTACGAGACAAAGTCTACTCGTAACCGTAAACCGCCTACTGATAGATCATCATTACTAGAAGAAATGAAACGTTTAAGAACTCAAGATAATACTCAAGATAATACACAAGATAATATTCAAGATGATACTCAAGATAATGCACATGATAGTCAAGATGCTCCTGTGATTCAAGAACCAAGTAGTTCCTCGTTTATAACAGAAGAAGAACATTGTACTACTGCCGGTCGACCCGACCATATCACTCACGATCATGCATATTCGTTTGGCTGGTACAACCTAGAAGATCCTGACTTCTGTATGAAAGAAAAATGCTTGCAGGAAAGACTCAAGCAGTTCAATGAGATCAAAGATCTCAAAGAAAAACTCCAAGAACTTGAAAGTGAACTCAAAGCATGTAAGATAAAACTCAAGGCCAGACAGCGTAAGGGACTAGAACATTCTGATTTGAAAACAAATTCATCTGTTCGTCTACTAACCGGCCTACCATCAAAACGAGTATTCAATAAGTTGTTTGAAGTAGTGAAGGGAAACATTAAAAAAGTAAACTACTGGAGTGGCCCAAAAAAATCTACTAAAAAAGGAAGAAACTTCAAAAAAACACCAAATAAGTTTGGCCCTAAAAGAGCTTTGTCAGAAAAAGATGAGTTTCTTTTGACCTTAATGAAACTTCGACTTGGATCAACAAATGCTGACTTAGCACTCAACTACAAATGTAACAAATGTTGTTACTACCTGGGTGAAAATCCTAGCAAGTGAACTTAAATGTTTGGTTTACAATCCCTCCATCGATGTTGTGAAAGCAACTTTGCCCGCAAAGTTTAAAAAGCCAGGCTACTCTAATGTACGCCACATCATTGATTGCACAGAAATATTTATTGAAACCCCAAGCGACCCAAACCTTAGAGCAGCTACGTGGTCAGACTACAAGCATCACAACACTGCTAAGCTGTTGGTATCAATAACACCACATGGTTTTTTCAATTTCTTATCCAAAGCATGGGGAGGGAGAACTTCAGATGTGCATCTGACAAGAGAATCATCATTTTATGATATCATTGAACCTGGCGATGAAGTGATGGCAGACCGTGGATTCACAATTGCTGAAGACCTCTTAATCAGAAGCTCAAGACTACACATCCCCCCTGGTAAACGTGGACAAGAGCAGTTCACTAAAGCTGAAGTTGCTAAAACAAAAGAAATTGCAAATCTTAGAATCTTTGTTGAGCAAGCAATAAGACGGTTGAAGACGTTTAGACTGATAAAGCATGAACTACCAATATCACTGCTTGGCAGTATAGACAACATTGTACTTATTTGTGCAGCCTTATGTAACTTGTATAGACCCTTGGGTAAAAAATGATTAACAAGAAATGTACAAATAGCTAAAAAGATTGACAGCATTTAACCCATGAAAGAATATAAACTTCATAAATTTAGAGGATACCAATATGTATTAGTCTAAGTTCTTTCTTAGGTTAAATGTTATTCAAAATCTCTGCTCTACTAAGTATTTACTAGCAACTAGTATAGAGTGCAATCACTTAATCTTTCATACAAATGGTACCAAATAATACTAAATAGTGTTGATAATGGTACATAACAAGAAACTTAAGTATTAGTATGATTTAGTACCATTTAATGCTTCAGCTATTAAGTATGTGCACTCTGAATAAGAACTGTTATATTATTTGCACCACAAGGACCTCACAAGAGAAAAATTATTCTGGTAGAGTGATTACAATCATTAGATATAATTTGTAAATATTTTTCTTCATTTCACAGCTCATGTGTCGCTGAACACAAATAAATAATATATTATTTATTATTACTATATATATAACTGCAAACAATATCAAACTGTAACATTTTCAATCATACTGAAGTGTGGTCAATGCATTACTTGTATAAAATTTCATGATTTGATTCATCCATTCCAGTTTCCACAACAGACAATTTTACTGTTCTATTCAGAGACTATTTGAGTTCAATTTAGAACTGTCAGACCAGTTTTTCCAGATATGAAATTGTAAAAATTCTAAATTGTATATAAAATGTACAAATGTATTTTTAGTGTTTACACCATGTAAATAAAGTTTTGTATCAAGTTATAATTAACGAGCATTCATTCACTTAAATACTTATTATAAAACCAAATTAGGTTTTGCTTTATCTTTTCCCAGTAATCATTATTGAACTTGATTAGCTCCAGATGATAACCCTTTTGGGTGTAGACCAGGAAGTGACACCATGTTCTCTTTGTCACAGCCATTTGTCCCTGTATCTGTGCAAAATATGCATGCTTCTCTTTCAAGACAATTTTGCCATTAATCTTTACCAGGTAGGAAAGATTGTCTTCTGATGGTAAATCATTAACAATAGAATAAGGGCACTTCACTTCTAGCACCCCTAATCCACAACAGGAACATTCAACAAGCAGATCAGGGGATGCTCCAATGAATTGGTCAGATTCATCAATAAATAGTCCACACTCTCTGAATTTTGCATCTTTGTGCTCCCTCTGAAACAGTTTCACATACTTATCCTTAGCAACTTTCTCCATGTTTCTTCCATATTTTAGAGCAGGTAAATGTTCCGATGGTCCATTACTTTTACCCTGGATTGTGTCCACTAGTTCCTGTGCATCACCCCCCTTAGTTTTAAGGGTTTCAACTTTTGTGTACACTCTATAGAAATTAGAGGCAGTTAATCGGCCTTTTCTGTAATCGTGCCATGCCTCATTCTCAGACTGACCAATGGTGCCTTGTTCAATCAGATGTATATCATCAGCACTTAAGTCTTTCTTTGATGACTTAGGCATTACACATTCAGGTACTTCAGTATTAATTTCTATTGTAACGGAAGTTGAACACGGTTCCTCAAACTCAGCCGTTGCTAATTTGATGAATGCCGATTCTGGCAACAAGTCCTTCAAATTATTATAAAACGACTTCCTCTTTCCTTTTGGAGTCAGGGGCTTCAACTCTTCATGTGAATTGAATAACTTTCGGCGACTATCGATGGCAGGTCTGGTCGTCTCTAGAAAAACACAAAATAAAAGTAAATTAATTGCTAGGTTACAAGCTAATAAGAACTTTCTTATTTATGTCCCCAGATAACACTTATGTCTATCCAGTATACATACTGTAAATACTTTGTTTAGAATTTTAAATAATAATAATAAAAGATTTATACCGCGCCAGTATCCTACTGTTCAAAGGCGCCTACAAAAACTTTAACATTAACACTTAAGACAGCTAATATTAATTATAAAAGGCTTTTCTAAAAAGAAAAGTTTTTAATCTACTTTTAAAAACAGACACAGACTGAGCATTTCTAATTTCACTTGGCAAAGCATTCCATAATGATGGTGCTGCTACAGAGAAGGATCTGTCTTTTTATCTGTCTCTTTATCTGTCTTTCTTACTGGAAGATTTACAGTTCCTGTACACCTGTCAGTTGTACCTTGGCAAGCCTCTTTAAGCAGCTAAAAGAGAAATTATAATAAAAAAAAATTGCTCACTTCAAATTTTTGTGCTTTTATTTTTAATTGGTAAAGGTATTTTAACAAATAGTTACTTCATAGCTAATACTTACAATCAAGAAGTTAGAGGAAAAAAAATTGTTGGAACAGGTGGCTGCACAGTGAAAGTTACCAGGGCACATAAACACTAGACTATGATTGGATTGAAAGATCAGCAACAAATAAATCGTATCAACATTTTGTAACTGTTATTATAATCTTATGGTTAGGCATGTTTCCATTGGGATAGAAATAAAAGACATAATTATTTCTCATCTCATGCCTTCCCCCTCTCTTTAACTGCTCGCCACACAGAAAAAGAGAAAGGCCTCCAGCAAAAATTATTGAAACCATTTCTTACTAGATTTTATTTATTTTTGTCAACTCTCCAAAATCCAAATGCAAATGACCTCTTTTCAAGTTGGTAAAGGAGTTACAACTCAGTGGCCTTTTCTTTGACTACTTTTTTGTGTGGAGATCTAAAAGTAACCACATCAATATAATCCCTTAATAACCCTTTTTCCTACTACCCTTGTACCCACCCCCCCCCCACCACACAGAACCCTCCATGTCCCACAGCCAATGCCCCTTTCGTTGAAAACACAAGCCAACTTTAGGATGAAAAGATCATTTAAAAAAAAAAAAAGAAAATGCTGCAGTCTAACGGGACTGCGACAGGAAGGCTTGCAGAGACATCATTTTGTAGAGCACACATGACCAACATCATTATGAATTTAAGCTAGTGAACAAGCAAGCAAATGCCTGCAGAGCGTCCAAAAGTTTGCAATATGCGGGTCAATAGTGTGACTTTGGCCCACACTCGTTCCGCATTTCTGGTAAGCCGCCACGGACACTAAGAGCATGTGAAAGTTTTTGAAGCGATTAGTCAAGGTCAGCGAAGGTGAGGGTTATTCTATTGTTGGAATCCGAAAACTGTCAAAGGGTTATTTGACCCCGGAAATGTCAGGTGTTACGTTGAAAATATTCAAAATCAATTATACTGTCAACCTTTTCAGGACTACACACACCCGGAGGATCAAACTATACTATCAAATGTTACCTACTGGTTCAAACCTTTACTGTATTGTACCCTTAAAAACTTACTTCAGAAGGCACATATGTGACCACTTCGCTCTGACGAAGGGCTAACGCTCGAAACGTCAGCTTTATTATTCGTTACGGTGGCCAATTTACAATCTCAACTTAGTTGATACAACCAAATTACTTCAGAAGCGCCATGCTTCACAGCTTGACGGCCAGTGTTTCGCCCCCCTGATCCTCCCATTTACCTTCGTGGTATTGAAAACAAGTGAAAAAAAGGAGCAAACATGTATACTGTTACCCTGGTCCCAGAGGTTTTCTTCTCTCTAGAAAAAAAATAGGATAAATCTCTTCTCCCTTAAAAAAATCGGCGCCAAGCGCCGACAACGAGCTGCGAAGCAGCGAGCAGTCGTCAGAAAACGAGCTGCTTCGCAGCTCGTTGTTGGCGCTTGGCGCCGAATTTTTTAGGGAGAAGAGATTTATCCTATTTTTTTTCTAAAGAGAAGAGAACCTCTGGGACCAGGGTAGTATACTGTCTATAATTACTTTCCATGCACTTTAACGGTTCCCAAATGATCTTGACTCGTACCCGAACGACCCCTGTCTGGTAGCGACCTCTTGTGGAGGTGTCTGAGCCTACAGTCTACCAGCGGTGAAGTAAAAAACTGAAAAAAAGACGCGAAATGGCGGAGTTACTCAGCAGTCTGTTAAAGTTGTTTTCATTTCTCTTTTTCCTACTCTGCTTTATCGCTCTGCGAGTTTCCTCATGTGGAATCAGCACGCACATAGACATTGCCCATCAAGCTATCAACTGGTTTAAAGATGCAAGGAATAACACTGATTACAGGGAAATCGTTCTGAGGCATCAAGATGCGTTTATAGGCGGAAATCCATACCCAGATGCCATGTATTCAGGGTTGTGCTTTAAAGGAAAATTTCACGAAGTTGCTGAAGATACACACTGGGCTCCCTTTCTTAATGCCACTGTTAGGTATATCAGAAAGAAATACCCAAAACCTTGGGATCAAGTGAGTGGAATCGATCGATCATATGCCTAATTTGAATAATTTGCGCACTTCGTGTCCAGTCACGATCTTTCATTTTCCACTATGTATATGGCTACTGCCGAGTTTACTATCGCTGGAAAATAACAGAAAGTTGAGAGATGGTCATGTTATGAACTTTTTGTCATTATTAAAGCCTAAAAAAGTCGTTATTCACTTGGTTAAAA